GGCCTTGCATTCTCTCAACTCGCCCTAAGGCTTTGGCCTCCCGGCCTTGATATGGAGATTTCTCACTTTCCATCGGCCGCTCACCTGGCGATGGACTCTTCCGCTTGGAGCGCTGCTTGCCAGCAACCTTCCAGTCTTCCTCTGGGATGGTTGGCATGGGCAGCTTCGACAGACTGGGGGCCCTCACAGCTGGCACCACCTGTTGGGCGCTTCTCTCTTCTGCCTCCTGGGCCCGCTGCTTTTGCTTCAGGAGGCGGTCACTCAACGCCTTGACTTGGTCTTCGGCGGAGGTTATGGCTTCTTGGGCCTCGCGGCTCTGCTGCTTCGCCTTCTTCATGGCCAGCTCTTTCTCTCGAGCTTCTTTCTTGGCCTTGTTGACGGCGATCTCCAGCGAGGCGATCCTCTCGGCGGTCTCTTCATCCCGCTTCGCTCTCGCCTTCTCGGCCGCGGTATCCGCCATTTTCTGTAGGAGCTCTTTGATACCAGGGATCTTCAGCAACGTCGCCGCCGCCTCAGCATCCTGGTCTTGCTCCTGTGTCTTCTCCGCCGCCGGCGGGGTATCCACTTCTTCCATCGGCTCATCTTCTGCTGCGGGTGCCGATGTGGCTGTGGAGGGTCTAGCCATGTCCTCCCGGACTGTTACACCTCCTGGCCCATCCCGGGCTTGTTCAGTTCCTTGCCCATCCCGGGCTGTTTCGATCGCCTGCCCATCCCGGGCTTGTCCTTCCCCCTGCCCGTCCCGGGCTTGTTCCTCCGATTCCTCAGCCTCCATGGAGGAGGCCGGGGAAGGGCTCCGGCGTCTTGTACTCTCGCGCGCTCCCAGGTGGAAGCGTGGCCGCCACCCTCAGGCGGCTCCGAAACCAATTGTTACGAATAGGATGTGGGTGTGCGGTTCCTGCCCTCTTTGAGCCGCGGACCCGCCTCGCCGGGCACCTAGGTCCTTACAGGGCACCTAGGCGGGACCACCCCTCCTACTCCCGTATCCTAATATGGATAAAGGCTACAGTGGGTGAGGAATAGTACGTGCCTTGGGCAGGGCGTCCCCCACACCAAGGGCCATTAGTAGGACGTCTCCCACATCAGGCTGGTGCGCGTAACATCTACATACTGCAGCAAGCCGCTCTTTTCCATTTCATGCCCATGAGGTGCCCATTGGACCACTCCTGCCGATTCTGGCCTTCTTCCATAATTCAGATGCCATTTTCATGGGGGAACACTGAGACAACAGGTTGGATGGGCTTGGTGGCCTTGGCCATTAAAACTATTAATTGGAAATCCAAAACAAGCAAAATTCTCCAATCGCATTATGCCATTCTCTACTTTTCCCAAACTGTTGCAACCCACAAAAAATTGGAAATACGTGATACACACGTCCTCTCAAACAAACTCAAATCTGCTACAAAAATGACTTTGTAAACTCCAAACCAGTGCAACTTCCTCACCTCACATGCCAATCCTCTTTATGGGATGTTTCATGGAATGGATCCAATGCCTTCATATGCCATTCAATCCCACGGTGGACTGCTCTAGCATCTCAAACTCTGAATTTAATACGTTGTGTACACCTAAAGCAGAGGACTAAACTTACACAACTACAAAGCATTTTCTTTGATCTTCAATCTCTCTTTCTCAGTGCTTTTGTCTAATCGAATTCATAATTACGAACCTAACTCTGATTCACAAATTCTAATTATGATTTTTTCTTTGCTGTGTGACAGCCCCACCCATCTTGGTATGGCCTAACACCATTCCTGTTGGGATCCGCAGTACCCGTCCAAGCCACCCTCCCAACACCACCCCCATTCCCACCCCCTCCATTCCCACTCCCAGGCCCTCCATCATGAGTCCGGCTTGGGTGAAGTCTACAATTGAATTCAATGATAGAATGGCAACTATCTACACAAACACCCCTGGCAGTGGCTTGAAGATCGGTTAGATCTACACCGGCTTTTGGAGGCCACCTATGAGACAACACTGCCTTCATTCGCTTATCGGGATAGCATTCCTCTACACCAACCAACAAATTCTGTAGCGCAGACAAAAGTACGAGTGGACATACTGCCCTAGAATATATAAATTGCTTGCAAACTATATGTTGCACATTTGTTCTCATATACCAAGCTTTAACTCAGGCAACCATTGGTGAATTGGTAGTACTATCTTGCCTCAAATCCATTCTTGTGAGTGCCGTTGTCGCCCAAGTCCTTCTTGTCTAACATTGATTGCATTAATCGCTCACGAGGGAGAAGGTTGCCTTGCACCATAAGGAGCTTGGGAATTAGCAGCATCCCAAACAAGTGGATGCCCCATAACAAGAAGAAGGCTTTTCTTGCAAAAACTGGCCTGTCCAAGCCCAACACTCCCATCTCCATCATGGCATGTTTTTGCGGTTTTGTTCACAACATACAATAACGACTCCACATCCACTATGGATATCTCTGCGCTACAGTTCGAGTGAGTGTTCACGTCGCAAGTCCAACTGGCCACCACTTCCGCATTGTCTTCTTCCTCGCCAGGCTCAGGGGAGCCATCCACGGATAGGACCAGCGCACGGACAACCTTGGGAACATTGGCTGGCACTGTCAACCTCAGTGGCGACAAGTGGCTACATGTTGTCGCTCACACACTCGACGGCAAAACCGCACTGGGAGGCTGGCTGCGGTTCGTACCTCATGTCCGCGAAAGGCAACATCTCATTCTCGTCAGCCGTGACGCGAAAACGCCTGGCGAACTTCCAGCCCCCCATTTCTAGTTCTGCAAGATAACGGTTCTCTGGGCTTGCGTGCATCCTGCGCAACTTGTTGCCAAACACCTTGTGCATGTGGCCACACGGGTAGGCGATCGTGCTGGGATTGAAATGCCCGCAGGCGAACAGCAGTGGCCGGCACTCCTGGGCATCCATCTGCTCGTCAGTTTGCAGTCCAACTCCCGCAGCAGGGTCTCGTATGCCAGGCCGATGAAGTTCGTGGGTGCGCCCAGGCCAGGGTCCTGGCCGGCGTCGATGCTCACATTTCAACAACTTTCTTGTCCATCACTTGTGACTAGTATCATGGCCTGCTATGGCGTACAATTCCAAAAAAAGGAGAAAACCGGTGGTGGCTGGGGCGGGGGCCCGCGAGAGCCCCCTTGTAATGGCAGAGCGCTCGTCCCATGGGGGTCGCTCAGGCGCACGTCGACAACAGCGGGCGCAAAATCTGACGACAATTCGAGCCGTGGCGCCTGAGCCGTCCAGAGCGTCGCCTTCGTTCGCGGGCTCCACGGGCGCGACCCCAAGTCCGGGCGTCTCCGCGCAGCTGGTTCTTGGACCGGGCGAGACCGGCGGCTGGCCCGATGAGGGGGAGACGATGCTGAGCCGGGATTGGGGCGTGACCGAATCGATCATCAAACGGCAATTGGCGACCGGTGAGTCTGATCCACGGATGGCCCGTCGGCGAGGGGACCGCCTCGGGGCGAGCGCCGCATGCTGACCGGTCCGCAGGTCGCCTCGCGGCGGATTCTGGACGCCGGGGTTGCAACTCTGGGGAGGGCAATGGGTGAGATTTCGCGATCGCGACGGCGCGATCGCGCGTGCATCGAACTGCCCCTGCCCGGGTGGAAAATGAGGCACCTGATTGCCGGGGGGGCGGGGAACAGGGGGCGATCTCTCGCAGCGCAGGTTGCGCAGAACTGTGCGCCATTACTTGGACCCGCTGGGCTCGGTTCGGACCCTTCTTGGGCCACCCAAGCCATCCCCGCGGGCACCGGGTAAGAACTGTTGCAAATAGAAAGAGGAACGGGTTATGCAAAATGGCACCTCGTCCTAAGCGGGTGTGCGTAAGACTCCTTTTCGTACTGTAAAGAGATGATGTAGGGTGTCCTGCGCAACACAGGCAGCGTAGAGCCGGGGGGTGGGTGGGTGGGTGGGGAGGGGGTCGCGCAGGCACCAACACCGCGCTAGGGAGTTGGGAAGCAGCAAAGAAGGGCGTGATGTCGGAATGTGAAGGAGGGTGGGGCCCATGCCGTCGACGTTGGCGCCTAGGAGCGGAGGGCCCGACGCCCAGTTCGTGGGGCAGGGCCGGAAACTGGCCTTGAGGGAAGGGGGCTTTTTCGGCCGAAGCGTCGGTCGACCAGTCGCTCGCGTTTGCGTCCAACGGACGGCATCGGCGAGAATCGTGCGCAACATTATACGGGGAAGAAATTGCGAAGAAAAGGGCTACCCAAAACTGTCGCTTTGGTGGTTGTGAGGTTTCTCCTCAATAAAACAAACAAATAAGCAAACAAAAAGGTAAGAACATAAGTGAACGGGAGAATAGTTTTGAATTAAAAACTTAGCACGCCAAGTTGGTGCGGTCTCCGTGGTAACTGTGTGCGGCAGACTTGTGTGAAATACTGAAGGACTATTTTGAGCGAAACGGCAAAACAACATTAATGTTTCGATCCATTTCAGACACGGTTGACGCAAACGCACGATTCAATATGATGCAATTTTTATGTCATCTCGTTTGCTACAATTTTAATTTCTGCATTTTCAACACATCATTTCTGTCAGCTTAATGCCGTTCAATCCCAGACAGGAAGTGCATGAGTGGGGAACAGTTCCCGGGGCGCAAGGTAGTGAATCGAGAGAGCGGCGCTGCCCCTTGAATTGCCTCATCACAATGCGTGAGATCGCAGCGGCCCTGCAGACGCTCATTCCGTCTTCTGACCCATCCCCATGATGTTGCGCCCTCCGCTCTAATGCAGGGCGCGTTGCCGCTGTGTCTTGGCCCAGGGTGGTCCAAAACCGCTCTGCACAAATCGCTGTCCAAGTGGGAGGTGCCCGCAATACGACGTGATTCTTTTTCGATCACGGAGGCGGTCTCCGGTATTAGGTGGCAGCATTTCCACATGGCCAGCATTGACGCGCCGAAGCGCCTGGGAAACCGTGTCTCATGTACATGCTGAAACTATGCCCCACCCGTGACGACGAAATTGTGTGTTTGCCATTCCCGAAGGATTTGCATTTGCGAAGTCAAAACGAGATGCTGCAGCGTAGAGGCCACAATTCCAGTGGAGCCATCCGTCTTGGGCAAAAAAGGGCTCCAGCCAACCGCGGCAGGGGCCAAAACGGATCGAAAGGCTCATCGCCAATGCGCGGAGGCACAGCACCTATGAAGCCACCCACGATTGGCCGGCCTCCCCCGCTTTCCGAAAGTCGAAAGTATCAGGTCTGTCATGGTGTGTGATGGGGATGGTTGTTGGTAGTGGAAGAATTGTGTAGTATGGGGCATCTTCGTGAATGGCAATTCTGGGCAATTGGGTGAGGGCGATGGTTTTCTTTTTGTGGCATGCACACTTGGCAATTCTTCTGGCGCCGTTGCGTTTGGGAGATGTTGCAGTTGTAATGTTGTGTATTCCAAGCGCTTTGAGACATGGAGTATCAATTTGGTGTCGCCGAGGAAGCATGGCTTGAGCGAATGGCTTCAAGAGGACGCTTCAGTTTCGTTCTTGGATGTCCTGGGCGCTATGGGCGACGTAATATATATCAATGCAGCATATAAGCAGATGAATTCTCAGCTTCTCAGTAGTAATTTTGCCCTATTTCCACCAACTGCTGTAACATTTCTAAATGCGACAGGCGTTTTCCGCCTCAAATTCACCTCGTGTGTGGTGTCTGTGATCTCTTAGGTGCCTCTTGCCACCAATTTAATCGCCGGCATTCAGAACGGAAGCAGGCTACAGCATGGGGGAAAGACAGTAAAGCAAAACTCGCGACCGCCCAAGCGACAAAGAGAAATCAAACAACAACAGGTGGAGAGCAGTTGCCGGTTCTCAGTCTGTTTGAAGGATGTATCTGCGCACTGTGCCTTGAGCTGTTGGAACGAGTGTGCGTGCTGCAGTTGCAGCTAGCAGCTCATTATTTGCAACCTTGGTGCCCAAACGACGACGCGCCAGGAAGTGCACAAAAGATGTGCAGCATTGAAAAGGTGTGTGCTTAATCAACCGATGGCTGCACAACATTTCACATAACAGCAGTGCTCTGCTCAAGTCTGTTCAGTTCATTTATGGAGCAGGTCACATACTGTACCATATTTGTTGTACGACATGATGTGGCAATTGGATTTCTAACAAATTCTGACATCGGTGTTGAGAATGCTGCTGATTTTGGATATTCGACCAGAGTTTATGCTTGCTTGAAGAAGAGATGCCAGTATCTTAGTATTTGTTGTTTAGCGGTTTCGTTATTCTTCAATAGGGATGAGTTCATTTTGGAGAAAAACACAAAATGGGGCCGACTATATCAATGAAAATGCCCCCTCGGGGTGTATGCTAGTATATGGCCAATAGCATTCGTTGCGTTGTGCGCAACGGATGTCGGACACCGCGGCAAAGCCAGTGACGAATGGGGAATCTCATATTCACGCACGTTTGGATTTCTTGCCAGCACAGCTCTGGGTGCGATCCTTTCATACTGCATTATAAAAAAATCACCATTTGTAAATTTAAACATGATTCCAGGCATTTTATGGAGTATAGAAATACTGAGTGCCGCTGTCTGTGCCATTTTACAGCGAAGCTTAGAAGGCCGGAATGGCACCAGTGCTGCCTGCGATATTTCCAAACTGCATGATATCGCATTGAGAATAGAGACCAATCTCGGTGCTGTAGTTAATGCTCAAGACGCAAAAGGCACCGGTGAGAAGGGTGGAAACCCATCAGGGCGGTCCGACAAACGTTCATGTGTAGCCCTACACAAGGCCAAGGAGGGAATACCCGACCTTTCAGCGGTGTGTGCTACTTGGCTCCGAGGGTTCCGTTCTTTCAGTATCTGTGTCCACTCTTCGCAATGTCGGTGTCCACTGACATCGATGCAGGCCAGTAATGGGATCCATTGATCAGTTTTCTTGTGTTTTCATCGCTGCACATCATTGGACGTTGTGCTAATTCCAATTCAGCGGCAGGGAACTTAAGCTTAGGAGCAAAGGAATGCCATGTGCGCCACTGATTCTGAAATGCACATGAGTGTGCATGGTATGTGGCAGCATCTGTGCAGGCTCCGTGTATAATTGAAATTGTGCACATGTGCAGGAACACAGCTGCGCCGATGAAACAGACTTCGAACTTCGCAAATTTTTGATTCCAACCAGGCCTAGAGCTCGTCGAAATTCGGGAACGGCTGAATGTCCTGTTAGCGATACGAAAGGCGAATCCAACGTGGGATCCCCACAAAGGCATGTTGAGGGACAAGCCACATCAATGCTGGCTTGTAAAGGACAAGAAAATTCTTATTCGTCACAGAAACTTTTAGGCCAATCCAGGCCCAGTGGTTCTGACTCGTCTGTGGACAAGGATCCGAGGGGGGAGGGGAGAAGGACACCAGGAGCTTGCAGGAGGGGCGGCGAAAATCTACTGCATTGGGCCAGTAACTTCATTCAGTCTCCTATTCGTCCCATTCGAGAACATTCTATGCCTCGAGGGACTGGCGCGATCAGTGCCGATCCTTTTTGCGTTGATTCTACTAAGGAATTTTCGTTCTTTGATCCCTTCAATGAAAGATGTACAGCTGCGCCGTCACAAAGTTGGAAGTGCACTGCTCCGCAAGTTAAAGATCGTCTGGGTCAGTTGGAGGAGGTTGCAGTGCCACCAAGTTCAGAATCATCAGAGACTCAGATTCCAACATTTGTTGCTGATTTTGCTGTGGACGAAATGTACCATGAAGAGGAGGGGGACCCACTCAGTGTCATCAATGTGTTCATGTCTCGGCAAAGCTACGAAGCACAACGCTGCGGCGAGGAAGGCGTGGATCCGCCATTGGCCGAACATGTTGGAACTATCCCGCATGTTGTCGGCAGTCTCACGAAATCTGAAGGCGCGGGAATAGTAGAAAGCATTCCGGATATCACGGGGAATCAAGGTATCGGTTTCCTTATTGGCAGCGATTCGTTGCCTTGCGGTGCATTTTTTGACGACGATTCTCCAACTGCGGAGCTCTGCAGACCACTCCCACCGGATCCTACACCCAGAGGATGTAATTATACCACGATGGCAAATGAAGCTGCACACGTGGGGCCCGGACCAAACTCTGCGCCCATTCAAGAACTCCCTCATCCTGCACTTCACAAGCCTCCACAGAGATCGCAAGGACGAGAGACAGCCACTTTGGCGCCCCTGGAGATAAACACTCAATATGCTTGTGAACCATGCCCCTTGCGAGACCCTTGGCCATCAACAAGTCTACGCTGCGAGGTGCAAAGCAAAAATGGTCTAGTGAGAGCTTCGGGAAGAAGCAGCCCCGTGAATAAGGAAGGGGAGGTCTCGGACCAGGGCCAAAAGTCTCCCACTTTCGAAGGTACAACCCAAGGGCAAGGGGGTAAGAATGGGTCCGAATCGAAACGCAAGGAATCTGAATCCATGCCTTGCATTTCGACCAGGCTCCAGAGCACCCAGTTTCCGGAGGAGAGCGACGCTGCCTGGACCCATTTTGATGGCCCCAAACCTGACCGTGATTTTCCACGGGGAGATATCTGGGGCAAGCAAGACAAGGCGGTACAAGCAGGCGTTGATGAAAACTCAAGCCCCAGCACCGCCACTCTAATACAATGCGTACACCGGCGCTGCACGTACGTGTTCAAGAGAGTCCAGAAAATCCGATGCTGTATATGTACAACCGACAGGAATTGTCCAAGTTGAAGCAAAGCCTGCGTCCAATGCGTTCACACTCCGCTGCCACTTGCTGTACCGCGGCGTCCAGAAATTCATTTCTTCAGCACACATGTTCTGGAAACAGAGCAGCGTTGGGATGCGGAGTGATCTTTAACTGGAGATTTCATGATCTTGGCACAGAAATGAGGATCGCGTCGCATGTATGGCCAATGAGCCTGGTCCAACTCCTGCCGTGAATTTCCATTGCGGAGCCGAACCCATTGGAGAAAAGAACCCCTCAATTGAAGGCCACACGAAAGCGCTGCAAACCCGCACTCTCAAATTCGCTCAGGAGGTAAATATTGTGTGCATATGCGCGCAACAAGATGTTGCAGCTGAGGTGATGGATCGACATTCTCGCATCGCAGAATCCAACATGCCAGGAGCGACGTGAAATACGGTCAACGGACTTGGCCTCCGTTTTAGCTGTTGCGAAGGCAATGATTGCGTGCTGACCGGCGATTATCGCGTTCTGACGCATCGATGCTTAGGACAGTGACAGGACCGGCTCCCATATTGGGAATATTTCACTGTGCAAGTGCGCCAATCTCACATTTCGCTAGGTTAGGGGTATTCTTGCACTGATAGGGATGCCGTCTTCTTTTTGTGCAGCTTCAGTCTGCGGCCAAAGGTGTGGAAGAATGTATGCAATCTCGCGCGGTGCTTCTGACGAGTGCGATGGCAGAACGACTAATTCGCGAAATGGACGGCATAGACATCACCCAAATCCTGGATAAGCAAGTCGGGAAAAACGGCGACCAGGGAAGGCGGACTCAGGTATTGCCTTGGAGAGAAAGCCCACAAGAAATAGGAACGGCGGATGTACCGGGACATTGAGAGCCTAATTCTTAGTTGCAGTCAAATTCAGTTCCGCTGGTGGAGCCACCAGTTCACGACCACATGATGTGACACATCTGCCCAAAGCACTTGAACATGCAAGTGGTGCACATACATCATTTGCACATTTCAAACGCTTCAGCATACACAAGTCACTCACTTGTATGCCTCTACATTATATTTCCCTCAGTACAGATAGGTCAAAGAGCGATCACGAGTAAATATTTTCGCCAGGCGCCCTGCTATCGGTGTCCGAGAATGCGAGCGCAAATGTGCGTCTACACGGTTCACATGTATGTAAGTGTGTGGCAGCACCACGAAGAGGAATGCCGCCTTTGTCGCCCGGTGCCATTGCACATGCGACACTCTTCAACGTGCGCGATGGGCACAGAGGATGCGCCCTTGCAATGCGGGGAGCCCTTCCCTTGTGAGGGCGCTGCGCAGGAAGACGCCTACTCAAGCAGTTGCTCCGCGACTCCCCGCGATGTCCAACGTCATCAACGAAGGGAGCGCAGAGGCAACGCGAGTCGAAATGTGCAGCCTGTAGAGGCGCGGCGCCGCCTTGCTTCCAGCTACCGTAGACGCGAAGAGGGTGCTGGATCTTCAACCTCTGCTTTATTGACAGGTGAGTAGCTTGCCTTCTTCCGAATTGCAAAAAAATGCAGGAATACGAGAGTAAGATGATCTGTGATTATACTACTTACTATGGTGCAATGAATTCGTTGCGCTTTTTTGCGGAGTGGAGGCATGCGTTGAGACAAAACTGGCAATCGAAATGGAATCTTGAAGACATGGGCAGCTATGTGGCCGTTCCCACCGTACTTTAAGTTGCCTGAATGGCGTCTTTTATTCATGGGCAAATTTTGCACAAATTTTTGTTGATAGGTTTTATCTCTAGAGGCACCCTATCAAAATGCTGCACCAGATGATTTGAGATAAGATGCTCCGTCCAGCACAATGACCGAAATTCCATTCTAATGAGGCTTCCCTGTACATTCGCCGCTCTCGCTATCTGTTTGATTATTGTCTTGATTATGCTATCATGATTAAGTCACAGTGTCCCAGCTGCCCTGGTAGACAATGTGCAGCATGCACAGGAAGATTTTTGTGGTTTAATGGCCCTGATTCAACAAAGTGGAATTTCGTGAATCTGATAAATCGACGGCATTGAATTAGCGCCATTGAAATCCTTTCATATTGACCAGACCCAACGGTTCGCAAATAGTTTTACATCTTGTGAATTGCAAAAAATCTATAAAATGCCTTCAGCACATAAAATTTGGGAAATGAATGGAGCAATGGCCATGCGGCGAAGACTCGTGTGGCTCTTGCATGCTGTAATTTGCACAGGTGTTCCTGCCCGCAAACAAGTAAGGGAGACCGGCGGGCATAAGCGCCGCACTCTACAGGGGCAAGAAATCCGAGGACGCCTTTCACGACGATGTGGCACTCTTGTAGTGCAGAAAGAAAGTGATGAATCAGCATCGGGTCATCGTCAAAGCGACAAGGAGGAGTACTATCGTGAGGATGCTGAAGGTGGAAGAAAATATCAAGGGAACCCGTGCCGCCGTACCGGTTGCGAGGTTGCCATACCCGTCAGGGAAAATGCAACTGCTGCAGGCCAGCAGGGTTTCCCGCCCAGTTCTCCCACCGCAGATGCCATGCAGAAAACATCTGACTGGCTGCAGAGGAACTTTGGAGACCACCGGAATGGAGGCAAGGGTTCAGTATCGGCGACATTGGCAAGCCAAGACACTGCAGATTTAGCAACAACCGAGAGACGAAGCTGCGCTGAAGCTCCCACTTTGCCAATTGACGGGAGAGCGAAGCGTGCTGAAACACCCAAGTCTGCCTTTGCATCTGAGCGGGCGAAGATGTCCGCGAGATCAGGTTCAGCTGGGCGCGATGAAAACGTGACTGAAAAAGGCGTTTCCCTGGACATGGTGAGCTGCGGGCAGCCAGCGCGTTCCAATAATCCCGACACTCCACCCACAGAGAAGTTGGAGATCAAGAGCAGCTCGGAAATTCCAGAAGAAATGGAGATCAGGAGTGTGTCCTCACCAATTCCTGAGGACATTACGCATTTCGTATCCTCGGAGGTACCAATGCACCGGCAAGCGAATTACCATGGAAGGGAGACAGCGGCGTGCAAAGAAGATTCAGAGCCAAGAGAACGGGAAAGGGAACACGCAGAGGAGGCAATTGATTCCACAGATGTCGTTTTGACGGAAACGCCGTTTGAACCGAAGGCGTACATTTCACGTCCTCGACATCAAGCCCCCATCATCCTTGACAAGCTCAACGTGCATTTGGCGAATCATTCTGGAGCGTTGCCTTCCCCGCCCAGCGCGGATTCTATCGCGGAAGACATTGCGGTCGCGAGCTGCGGATCCACCAGTCATATCATGGCCGAGATGGAAGAATTTCAGTCCTCAGAGTGTCGAAGCGTGGATCGGAAGAATTCTCCGAAATGCTCCTCAATTGTTGAATCTCCCTTCGAAGACAGCGCATCTTCGCCCTCGATGGTGAGGGAGCTTGAGCCACAGATTGTGCTCCAGAGCTGCGCCGC